CATATAAAGCGGGTATGGAATTATATATATATCTCTATATCCGTATTATATTATAATTATCTTCGTGTTGAATTATATAAAATAATGAAGTAATTCGTTTAGTAATTTAATTATTAAAAAGATTAGGGTCAATGCAATTAGTTAATCTACCGTTAAGTACAATACATATGATAGCTTTAAATATTCATGTCATATACGTATAAGATATATATATTTTTGTATTTCTTATTGTTTACGTTTAGTTTTACATAATTAAACTCGATTCGTGTTTATAAAAAATAAATTTGAATGGCTTATATTTTTTTATTAATTATATTGTATCAAAATTAAGTTTATATAATCTGAATTTGATATATTTATTTTATTTATTAATATAAAAATAATATTATTTATTAAAATAATGAAAAATTAAAAAGTATATATACATAATTAATGAATGGTATTTGAATAAATTTTAAAAAATTAAGTATGAACTTGTAATTACTAATTTTTTTTTTTTTTATTATCCACGAAACCGATCTAATATGAATTTATATGTTAAAAAAAGTTATATCATGTTAGATCTAGATAAGTCAAGATTTGAATTTAAAATATTTATCTATTTTGTTAATTTTTTTATATATAATATATATGAGAACAATTTTTGTAAGGTGGGTCCAAATCGAATTTAATATATAAATAAATTTAGATTAAGGTTGATGATACCATTAATTTAGATTTAGATTGAAAACTAAAATATTAATCAATACCTTGTTTATTAATTATACAATTAATTAAGTAAATTAACGAGTATTTAGTACGTAGATTATTAATTAAATGCTAAAAATGTTTGATTCAAATAATATAATTCATACTCACTATTTTAAAAAATAAATATAATTCTATATTGAGTGTAGACCCTATTTAATTTTAAATTTGGATATTAAATAAATAAATAAATAAGAAAAGAACAAAATCAGAAGTGACGAAAAAAGAAGATAATTGGATGGGACCCGCAATCGTACGGCGGAGTTGAGACAGCACGCCACCTCCGCAAATTTAGGTAGGCCTGTCGCTCTCAATTATTATTTTATTTATTTATTTAATTATTTTATGCCTCATTTTTCCTCCTTCGAGCACCGTGCCCTCTGTCCCTCTCCTGCTTTTATCAATCTCCTTCTGCTCTTATTTACTCCTCTTCCTTATAATCCTCCATTATTAATAATTATATTTAGAAATTGTAATTAGTAGTTTGTCTAATTTCGTTAATTTTGAATTTTTGTTTTTTTTTTTTTCCTGCGTCACGTGCAGAGTGACTTGTTTTGGACCGTCCACAACTAATTAATGAATCACCGACCATCGTCGAAGGTCATCTCACCACGTCATCTCAATCAACGTTCATCATCATCATCGTGAATGAGGGATGACTCATCTCATCGACTTAGAAGTCTTTAATTTATAATTTATATAATTAAATTAATTTATTTCTTATACTATTTATTAAATTTATTTATAAATGGGAGGGGAAATAAGAGCAATTAATGAAAAGCCGGAGGGTTTTATTGAAAGCGAGAAAGTGGAAATGAAGCAACGGCTGGATACTGCGTGAACTGTTTAGTGTCGTGGTTGTAATTACGTAAATACCCCTCACATCTCATACTAAGGAGGGCCCCACCGGGAGAGGGGGTGTGGGGAAGGGGATACTTTGATAGCGACGTTAACCAAGTAGGAAGTAACAACAATTCGAAGGGAACGGAACCAGAAAGTTAAGACACGAAGAGAATTTCCTTTTTTTTTTTAATAAAAATAAGTGAATAATTTAATTTTTATTATTTAAAATTTTAAATTTTTTTTGAAAAATCGGAAGGAATCAAACTTGTGGTTAATTCCAATCCACCGTCTCAAAAAAAGAAAGAAAGAAAGCGGCGCGGCTGCTCCCACCACTTGCTCTTATTTTCACTTCCGTCACGTCTCTTAAATCGTCAGAGTGTGCGGTACACGCGGGAGTGGGTGGGACTGGGGGGAGGGGGATTGGATATTGTAATACAGCGCAGATCTAGTAGGGTGTAGGGCGAGAGGGGTGTGTGACGCACATGCCGAGACTACTTTTTCCTTTTGTGCTTTTTACTTTGCGTCGTCTCGAGCCCTGCGTACGTGACCACCGGCTCAATATAACCCCGCGACATCTCCCTCCTTTTTGTCTTTATCTTCTCCAGACTCCCCCCCACCTACGTACACCACGCGCTCTTATGAGTTTTTAACGTATATTTAAAAATATAAAATAATTAATCGTTCGATATTTTAATTATTAAATTATAAAAGATTTATACATTTACGATTCGCGTGATTATCGAAATTGTTCTGGGCGCGTGGGCGTTAGAGTTTGTTTTTAAAGAGTAAATCCGTCTGGTGTTGGGTTGCGGGAGCTAAAACAACACTGCGAAAAAGAGAAGCCTAGGAAAATCCCAGTACCCAAGTCTGTCACGTTCGAATGTGCAGAAAACCACACGTGTCCTTCTTCAGTAGGTTGTGTGGGCAGACGGTGAGTGACGGACGGTGATTTTACTTTTTGGAATTAGTAAAATTACTAACGAAGAAGAAGAAGAAGAAGAAGAAAAGCTTTTGGCCTCGTCTCCTTCTCTCTCTCTCTCTGCATTGCATGATCGAAACTGCTTTCTCCTTAAAGTCCACACCAAAAAAAAAATTAATTCAATAATTAATTAATAATTTAATTTAATTTCCTTCAAAAAATAAAAAATAACAATAATAAAAAATTGGGGGGTAGTTCCACGTGTTACTAAAAATGTGGAGGAAAAAGTTAAGGTGGTGTTCGGGTGTAGGAAGGTCCATATGGCTATAATTAGGGAAGCCTAAAAAAGGTCAAAAGTCAGCCTCTTATTAATAGACTTGTGTAGCTTACCTCATTAGGCCCTTATGCTGCACTATCTGGGCCCATTAAAGCTTTGTACCAAACCTTACTTTATAAAAAATAATTAATAATTATTAAGTATTCAGAAATTAATTAATCTTAATTATACCAAATTTTGGTAAAAGTACTATAAATTATTTTAATGGGCTCGGCCTGATTAGTGATTTGTAATCTTGGGTTAATCTCGGGAGGGAAAATAACAAAATGTACTCAGCGAAAGCTCTTGTTTTTAATGTCGTGGAATGGTCCCATTTTTTTAAATCAAATTTTCGTTTAAGCATTAATTAATTAAATAATAGAATATTAAAAAAATCAAAGTATTAATCTAGGAATAAATAGAAAATATATCTCTAATACACGAATTACTTAAATTTTAAACCCGATTAATTAAGGATTATGATACGTGTTATTTACCGTAACACATTTTTTTTTTTTATATAAGAAAAGCAATGGCATCAGCCAGCCCATTAGCAAAATCAATCTTTGTTCGTACTCACTTGGTAAAGCCCATTATTCGTATAACTTCAATTTTCTTTATGGCTTTCGCAAATTTTTTAAAAAATAGTTTTATATAAAATTATCATTTTTTTAAAAAAGGCAAATTTAAACTTCAAATATATGTTGGGTAATAGTTTTAAAACACTAATTAATTAGTGTTTGAAATTTCAATAATATTGCATTAATCATTTTGATTATATTAAATATTCTAGATTTTGTTATCCAAGTTCTAATGATGTTGCCACAATTGTGTAATTTTATCATCTAATACTCCAATTAATACACTTCCCACTAAAGAACGTTTACTTTTTCTCCTAAAAAAATTATTAGTTTTAATTCAAAGTAATTACTAATTAATTAATTAATTAATTACGAGGTCATTTGTAATTCTAATTATAATACTCTACACACACACATATATATATTAAAAAATAAGTTTCTAGTCTTAGTTGATTTGTTGACCTAATTAATGTAATTAAATATTTTGAAACTAATTAAAAGGGTACCCAAGAGTCTAAGCACCAATAAATGATATCATACAACACGAAATTATATTATCTTTTTCTAGAATTTGATTTATTGCCCTTTAAATTATTTGGGTGTACTTTTTCTTATAATTTAATGCCATAAATACTATTTCAAAATTTAATTATACTTTCTTTGAAAATTAATATTGCTTAACAAAAAAAATAATTATTAGATTACAAAAATAGTAGCCTAAAAAAGCTAATAACTTTATTTAAATAGTTAAAAAAATCATGTCACCTATTGAAATTGATTGATTGTAATAAATGACTCTATATATGACTAGGTATGGCTTATCAATTATAGAAGGTGTATATATATATATATATATATATATATATTAAGGCTATGTTTGAGAAAAATAAAATTAATTTTAAAAATTATAAAAATAATATCTTAAATAATTTAAAATAAATTAAAAAATAATTGAATTTCGAATATAATTTAATAAATTTCATAAATCAATTTCATTTACTCCAAGTGTATATACACTAACATATCGTTCAAGAAGATAAAGACTAACATAAAAAATAAAATCAAGGTTTGGAGTTTAGGCCACTTCTACTTACGTGACTTTCTCATGTAAAACCAAGTCCATGCTATATACTATGTATAAATCATATGCGTATACATATTATAATGCTTTGTTTTGTTCAAAAACTTATTACACTTTTGTTTAATAATTTAATTTCATTACATGTGCTTCAATTACGTAATTAAATCAATTTGTAATTAGATAGTTCACGAGTAGATAATGTTCGTTTGAATCTTCCAGGTTAATGTTCGTAAGTAGTGACAATTATTTAGATTCGTTAATCTCTATAATTTCTTATAATTTAAAGAAATGAAGAGATAGATATTTTAATAATTATCAAATCAATAATCCGCTTAACAAGATAATTGTAAATAACATAATAAATTTTATCCTAGAATTAACATGAATAAAATTATTAATATTAAATTTGAATAAGTCTTCAAGAAAGACTCTCTGACTTATCCAATGATTACTTTTAATATTTTGTAATACAAATATTCTCCGTTTCGATTTTGTACTGGTGCAATTTTTTCATTGGAGCAGCAGAATCTCTTAATTTCATCAAAAACCTTTTCTAGATTACAATTAATTTGTACAACACAATTGTGACAAACCCTAATTAACATATATAAACCTACCTACTTGGTGATCTCATGTGATTTGTACATCAATTCCTTCCTTTCTTCACCAACAAGATTGACACTAGTGATCATTAACATTTATAATCTACATCGAATCAAAATTAAAGGAGAGAAGAAAAAGAAAAGATGAAGAGATGAACTTTAATTTTAATCCAAAAAAATTAAAAATCACCCTTCCTTCTCTTTCTGCTTCCACTCCAATCCTATAAACCTGCAAGGTGAAAACCTAATTTTATGCTCAGAAATGGTCTCCAGCTTCGGCGACCACACCTGTTCTTTCGACCCAACAAGTTGCTCGTAATGCTTCTTCAATTCCGGCGTGCTACAAAGAAAACTCGGACTATTAGAACCCGACCCACCTGCCTCGTCTTCTTCTTCACCGGCATTAATGAGCCTGGCTATAAACTCAGGCGCCACCTTTATCAAAATCCTACCATTCGAACCCTTTAAATACTGAAACGGGCTGTCGCCGAACTTGATCGGGGCGGCAGGTTTAGGACCGGAGGAGCTTAAGCCAGCGAGGGAAGAAGCCGTTAACACGCTGCACGCAAAGCGGTCGATGGGGAGGACGAAGTAGGTTTGGCCGGGAAGGAGTTCATCGTCGAGTGAAAGTGCCGGGATAGGGTGGCCGATGAAGAAAGAATCCGCATGACAAACTATTTTATCAGGCGATTCAAACATGATCTCCCCGGCTATGTGCTTACCATGGATTACCCTTGTGGTTCCCCCCCAGAAGACGAGCTTGACGGACCGGCGGCCGCAACAGCCGGTCCGTTTCCAACAAGGAGACACGGCATTGCCCATTGAAGGTAGAGAAGTTGCGGAGAGAATTATTCGCAGAGGTTTTCGGTGTTTGTTAATGGAGCTGAAAGAGAAAGAAGGAGCCAAAGAGAGTGGTTGGATTATATAGAAGAAATTAAGGAGAGAGATTGACTTAGAGAAAAAGTCTTTAGCCGTTAATTTATTTTCTTGTAAATCTGATAAAAGGGTCGGTGGTCAGCCATGCCGGCTAGCGAGGTTTGAATTTCTCTTAAAAAGAAAAGAAGAGAGGTGTGTCCGGCTTTAAAAAGCTCATGACACTCGTGATGATTATAAACTTACAACTGGCCTGCTAATGTTATTGTAAATATACGTACATGCATTTGATTACTTATATATGTACATGACATTCATAATATATTATTAGACATATATATATATATGAACTCATACAGTGTATTTGAATATAATATTAATGGAAAAATTTTGCACTTTAAGAATACACTATATAAGACAGTAATAATGTTTTTAATTATATAATTTCCTAGTTGGCTAGTCAACTCACATAATCAATATATAGTACTCCCTCTCTCTCTCTCTTTCTATTATAATATAGTAATATATATACATAATATTTATTTATTGAAAAAGAATTAATTTGTAAAATAAATTTAGAGGGTTCTTTTTCTTAACACAATGCAATATATATTTATATAGTATTAAATAAAAATCGTAACTGAAATATTAAATTTAAATAACAACGTAAATAACTGTTAAGTCAAAATCGGTTAGTTTAATTATATATATTTACAAGTATAATTTGATAGAATTTAATATTTAACTACGTAAATATTACACACGTATAAATTAAGATGATTACAAATATGGATCAAATTATACATGTAAAGTAGTTATCATTTAGGTATCTCTTACCATGAAAAATTTTTTAAAAAGAAAATAAATAATTTTAAGAAGAATATGTACACTATTAAACAAAATATAATTAGCTAGCATGAAAATTATAATATATATTTAAAAATTGAATAATAATATTGATAAATTAATATGTTATTTGCTCTATACGAAATCATAAATTCAAATGTTTATTATATTTTTATTTATATTATATTATGATTAGTAGATGAATATCAACTATTTAATAGATAATTGTAGTTACTATAATAATAATAATAATATGTAAAAATTGATTAATATTCTTCGACATTAATAATATGCGTGTATGTATTGTGTTTTTTGCGTTTGAAAAGGTATATTATCAATGTATTAATAGAATATCGTTTGAATTTTCTCTTTTAGGTATAACTAATGAATCAGTCACAATCAAGTTTGTGTATATGTAAATAAATGCACCATGACCAATTGACAACAATATAGTTAGGCATAATAATGAGCACTTTTAAATCATTCTGGTACTTAATGTAATACTCATAATTAATTTTGATATATTTAAAATTAATATATAAATATAATTTTAAAATTTTTATTTAATGTAAAATAAAGAAAAATAGGTAGAGAATAAAATTGAAAATAATTTTTGAAAAAAAAGTGAAAATTTGGGTCTGGATGTATTTTTGAAAAAAAAATC